GACGAGGTAATTGGGGTCATTTTTAAGGCTCCCCCTACAACGCTACGCTTGCAGTCTACCACAGGACGGCTACTCTTAATTTATGTTGAAATTATACCTTATAGGATGGATTTTGGACTGAAGCCCATTTTCTGCATGCAGATCACCACTGGAAGTTTGTCCATTTTCCGAAGGACAGTCTAACTGCTTATTTTACTGATTTAGCCCAATGTGGGCAGCTGACTCAAGTTTTTGCTAATATACCTCTATGATATCATGCAATGGCCAAGCTCGCAAATCACCGCTAGTGTCTAAGACGTGTGTTTCTGGAATACATGCACGTTGCAGCAATGCCCACAACTGCTACTGTTACCAGCCTCTTTGCCTTTGAGTACCGAGTCATTCTCTTCGACTGGTAGTCTGAAAATCCACAAAGCAATGGAAAGCAATTACGGAATTCTCGTCGAAAGCATCTATGAGAGTCGGAAAAGGAGTCATAAACGATTGCTATTAATTTAGGAAAATTTCAAAAGAAAAATCTTGAATGTACAATGCACACACAGTTCATTATTGTAAACGGTTGTGAACCTGAGATACGCTGATCGAGATCCGGTTTCAAAGCACACTTCGTAGCGTTCACATGTTATTCAAAACTGTTCTCAGCATTCAGAGTCTGAACTCAAACTTAAATATGACTGTCCAATCAGGAAGCTGCCTGTGAACCAATCATACGTGCTTGCACTGGGAAGTTACTTTAAGAGTGTGGACTTTGATGGCTGGGGTTGCCAAGTGAAGGTCGTGTGACCGAGAAACATATACCATCTTTAGGACACCGTTTTCATTGGAGCGCTTTGTGGTGCATGACATCAGTTCTGGAGCTGTTTAAGTGTTGTGTGTACATGGATGTAACCTTGATTATTGGTTGACGAGTGCAGAAGATTGGGTGTGTGCATACACGAGTATTGTGTGAAGTGTGTGGTGTCTGGTGTGGTGTGGTGTGGTGTGGTGTTGTGAGGTGTGGTATAATGTAGTGTGGTGAGGTGAGGTGAAGGGATGTGAGATGAGATGATGTGAGGTTTGGTGTTGTGCGGTACGGTGAGGTGAGGTGAGACGAGATGTGGTGAGGTGAGGTGTGGTGTGGTGAGGTGAGTTGAGGTGTGGTGTTGTGAGGTGTGGTATGGTGAGGTGAGGTGGGTGGTGTGGTGTGTGAGGTGTTGTGAGGTGAGGTGACGTGTTGTGAGGTGAGGTGAGGTGAGTTGTTGTGAGGTGAGGTGAGGTTAGGTGTGGTGAGGTTAGGTGTGGTGTGGTGTGGTGTGGTGTGGTGTTGTGAGTTGAGGTGAGGTGTGGTGAGGTGTGGTGTTGTGAGGTAAGGTGTGGTGAGGTGAGGTGTGGTGTGATGAGGTGATGTGGGGTGTGGTGTGGTGTGATGAGGTGAGGTGTTGTGAGATGAGGTGTGGTGAGATGAGATGATGTGAGGTGTGGTGAGGTGAGGTGAGGTGTGGTGTGGTGAGGTGAGGTGAGGTGAGGTGTGGTGAGGTGAGGTGAGGTGAGGTGAGGTGAAGTGAGATGAGATGATGTGAGGTGTGGTGTGGTGTTGTGAGGTGAGGTGAGGTGAGGTACGGTGTGATGAGATGATGTGAGATGAGGTGAGATGTGATGAGTGATGTGAGGTGTGGTGAGATGATAAGGTGAGTTGTTGAGGTGAGGTGTGGTGAGATGGTGTGAAGTGTGGTGAGATGAGATCATGTCAGGTGAGGTGAAATGAAGTTAGATGTGATGTGGTCAGGGGAGGTGTCATGTAGTGTATGCTTGTGTGTACTCATAGCTAGTGGTACGTGGTGTGTGTGTCACAGAATGTGTTTTTTGTGGCATGTACATGTATGTACCAAATGGTTGCTGTATGTGTGTGCTCTATGTGTATGTGCATGGGGTTTGTGGTGTGTGTGTGTGTGTGTATGTGAGGGGGGTGGGGTGTTGTGTGTGAGGTGCTTGTAATATGTGTATGTATGTGGTGGTGATTACCTGAATATATCTGTGGTGTATGTACAGGGGTGGAAATAACTTTAAAATTGCTAGTGTACTCCGGTACAGTGGCACATGTAAAATCACTTGCCCTGATAATTTTTCCACTATACCGACCGTTTTCTTGTTGATTTTTTAATTAACAACATAATTAACATTGGAATATCAGCTGGACACCGGTACAGTGTGATATACAAATTTGCTTGCCTGACAGAAAAAATCACTGGACTCGGGCGTCGGGCAATGGGTTATTTCCACCCCTGATGTATATGTGTATGATGTGTATACCTGTGGTGTGTGTGATGTGTGTGTTTGTGTAGACATGTTCATTTCACACAAATCATGAACAATACCTCTTTGTTTCAGGGGCGGTGGGGTAGCCTAGTGGTTAAAGCGTCCGCTCGTCACGCCGAAGACCAGGGTTCGATTCCCCATATGCGTACAATGTGTGAAGCCCATTTCTGGTGTCCCCCGCCGTAATATTGCTGGAATATTGCTGAAAGCGGCGTAAAACCATACTCACTCACTCTTTGTCATGTCATGTCAACCTCCTATCTTTATCCTGACATAATGATGTATGTTACAGTGACATCAAAACCTATATGGGCAGCATTTTTATTTTCTGTGTTTCACATCGCCCGACCGACCCTTCTAATATTCTATTGCCGATCCCCCAAAGAACTTTTTTTTTCATTCCAACACCGCCGACTCGAACCAAAAACGTACCGCCTCGTCATATAAAATGTTTATCTTTAACTCAGTCGCTACCACAAGTCCAAAGAACGCGAGAAATTGTAATAAGACTTACACTAAATGAGAACCAAGAACATTTTTCAGATAATTTGGTCATTTTTATTATTATTTATATTTTTTTACCCGACCGACAGACCCATGTTCAGAACTTTCTGGCTACGTGAAACACATAAAAAAATGATGCCCTATACGTGCCTTGAGTATGACATAACCGCTTAACAGTTATATAACTAGAATATTACACACATCACGTACAGGGATATATCTGTTGTAAGTAATAAAATAGGTGCACTAGCTTTATGCATATATACTCATGCCAATAATGGTTGTCACCCCCTCCCCAACCCACAGCCCCTCTCCAATTATAAAAATTGAAGGGGGTGACAACCATTATTGGCATGAGTATATATTGCCATACGCCCCACATAACACGCGGGGTGAACAGGACAAAAGTCCGTTTCGTGACACAAGCTAGTTACTTAACTTCAGAGGGGTGATGGGGTATCCTAGTGGTTAAGGCGTTCGCTCGTCACGCCGAAGACCCGGGTTCGATTCCCAACATGGGTACAATGTGTAAGGCCCATTTCTGGTGTCCCCCACCATGATGTAGCTGGAATATTGATAAAAGTGGTGAAAAACTAAACTCACTTTCATACGTTTAAGACATGAGTGAATGGCAATGGGTTTGAGCCGCTTCCTTCCATGCTCCAGTTTCGTTTGAAAATATACTTCACGCCGCTTTGAAAAAGATTCCAGCAATATCACGGCGGGGTACACCAAACAAAGGCTGTTCGTACCAGTTGAAGAAGAGAATCTGCCTTGGCCACGACAAGACAACACATTGGCCATTATGCTACCACATCCGTACTGTTAGGTCATACCATCTTTAAGTGAGTGAGTGAGTTTAGTTTTAAGCAGCTTTAGCAATATTCCAGCATTATCACGGCGTGGGACACCAGAAATGGGCTTCACACACTGTAACAACTTTAAGTACACGGCTGGTACACCTTTGGTCTTCGTCACACAAGACGATCACAAAACCATTTTTCTTTCATGACAATTTATTCAAATAAATAAAGTAACAGTACATTTCCCGATTTCAACAAGACATCAATAAATGTGAGCATGTTCCCGTCAATGTAACCATTGAATCATAATACTGCGTGGTGTGTACCAGGGACGAAATATGTCCCGAGTTGGTGTTCTGGGTGAGTGAGTGAATGAGTTTAGTTTTACGCCGCTTTTAGCAATATTCCAGCATTATTTCCCATGTGGGAAATCGAACGGGTCTTCGTTCAAGAGCGAACGCTTTTAACCACCAGGCTACCCTGATGTTCTGGGAACAGCCTTGACTTTATAGTACAGTTACAATATCAACGCTACTTAACGGTAAACTAGAATGAGCTAAACCATTCTCGTCGGTCCACTAGTCAAACATTCAGATGCTATTCAACGAACCAATATGTGAAGCCCATTTCTGGTGTCCCCTGCCGTGTGATATTGCTGGAATATTGCTAAAAGCGACGTAAAACTAAACTCACTCACTCACTGATGCAACTTTGACGATGTTCATTAAATATTTCATATTGAACTCGCTCAAATACACGAAATAGCTTAACAGTGACCCTAAACAAAGAGTGTGACTGATACGAGTTCTTTTCAAGATCTATTTGCCTGTGACATTGATTTTCAATATATTCTGGTTAACCTGTTATCCCAATATATACACAACGTGATTATGAAAATAAAGGAACAGTTCATACATACCGACATAATGGATACATTTACTGGAAAATGGAAAAAAATAAAAATAGATTCAATAATATGACAATTGTGAACATTCAGTATGAGCACCGTTGCACAGTTATCGTCCTACATCAGTCTTTGGTTGAGCGATTACCTCGCTGTTGTGAATCACATTTTTGCTTAAGTCGATGGCGGGCTAAACAGTCTAAGTAAACTTAGGCTCAGTATTATTCGTTACACTACTATACTGAGTCTAACAAAACCTTGTAGAAGGTCGCGTCAGCTGACCTTTGAGCGACCTATGACCGTCCAATCAAACGCGAGACGGCCGAGCGGATTTAACCAATCAGACAACGACTACTTGTAAGGGTTCGGCGGGACTTGCAAAACGGTTTTTGGATTTTCTCTTCCCTGGTCGCTGACACTGATCTATCAACAAACGAAAATCCGCATAAAACACAGATATTTGACCTGCTCTATATACGCTTATGGGTTTCTAATGACATGGTTACTATTTACTTATATTTTCGCAAGATGACATCCTTGAATATTGACAAAAAACGCTATTTTCAGCGACTGTTTACTCATTGCGTGTATCACTCGGAAGTGATCGTGCGGAAAACAACATTCGGAATAGTTCGAGTTTTTTAGGTAAAGGTTCAAACGGTATGTGCGAATGTTAACTTTCGCGATTTGGTAAGCTGTGTTCTGATTGGTCAGCCCAAAAGGTTAGCTGACTCGACCTTCCACTAGGTTTTGTTAGACACAGTGTAGCAGTGTAACGAATAATACTGAGTCTACGTTTACTTAGATTGGCGGGCTAAAAAAACAAACAAAAGCAGACAGACAGACACGGACACGTTAACGAATGCACACACGTGTGCCACATCACACACACGTCCACGTACTTCAGCACGCATGCACACAGCTTTACATTCTTCGTTTCAGAGATCAGTCCTAGTTTTGTGAACACCTTCTTGATCGGCATCCGGGTTATTGCATTCACAGTAACCTGGTAAAGAGTGTGAGCACCTCTTGTTGTGACAAATCGGACAAGGACAAGTGGTTACATCTGTGACATTGTTAAAAAGGGATATTCTAATACTTTCAACAAATTCAATCTGAAGTATTGTCTGTAAAGTCAGTTTTCTAATTTACATCTGATTATGGAGAACTCAGAAATGATGACGAGGAATGTTCTTGACGGAGCCTTCAAATATTCCCTTGGTTGCGGGGTCGAGGATGAGAATGACGGTGGGGTATTTTCATACGATGTTCTAATTGATACACGCACGCACGCACGCATTCACGCACACATCTCCTTCCTTCTCCCTTGATGACCTTCAAAATTTTCTAAACACAGGATGAACGAGATTCCACATTGTAAGGAACATGTGCTAATTACAATGCTACCCAGTATCGCCTAAGGCATTGAAAGAAGGTTCGGCTGTTTCCGAGAACGCTGAGATTGTACGGTTTGTTGAGAGTGGCATCTCCGGGAGATGCTGATGATGTGGCATCGCGTTCTGGATGCGGGTGGATGCGGAGCAACAGCTTGTGCTCAAGCTACTGCTTTGCAAACTCCCTCTAGATACAGGGGAGTTGACTGTTGATAAATCCGTCATAGCAGAGCCTGGTCGGCTCGTTTCGTCCTGTAAATGTACCCTTGTGCTGAAATTATTGTGAACAACGTCAACAGAATTGTTGGAAACGTCATCAGTTTCTGGTCCCATATGCGTCGAGGGTAAACGCGGGTCTTTGTACACAAGTATGGGTTTTGAAACATTTTTGCTGCAATGGTTATTCTTACCGTTTTCGTTATTACAAATGTTCCTGTTATCGTAAGATTTCAGATACCCATAGTTAAAGTTAGAAAACGTCACACACTGTCGCCTTCCCTGTGTCCCCGGAAGTGCTATGTCACGTGACTGGGGCTCCATCGGATTTGTCACGTGATAGTTCGAGCTCTGTTCGGTGATATCGCCCGTTCCACATGGGGAATATTTAATGACACGGCTCACAGTTTGCAAAATCATCCAGAAATTAAGAACACAGAAGAACACGATGCACATGAAAAACAAAATCATTGGAGGAAATTCCATCTTCAGCGGGGAGTCATGTTTTAAAGCTATGGCTAGACACACAACAGGAATAACACCCCTTGAAGCCATGGTAACAGCACAGCTGATTATTCCAGTTCTTCTGTAAAGGGCAGAGGATTTCTGGACACCCAAGTCCCGCATAAACCGGCCGGTTTCTATGGGGATGACGTTGAGCTCCATCAACAAACAAGCAACACTGAGAAATATATTTTGCCTGTATGCCAGGAATGTACCGTATGAGACCGTTGTAACTATGTGGTGAATCAGATCTGTTTTAAAACGATCCAAATGCTGATGCAAAAAGCAGTCTTGGACAGTCATGTAGATGTAGCGACCCACATTTACAGACATGACTGTCTGGGTAATCGGGTCCAGGGGAGCCGACTGGTTTCCGGTAAATGGTAAATTTGACACGGATGTAGTTGACAGAGCGATAGCAGCCAGCGTGATGAGGAGGCACGTCACCAGTAGCTCCGTTATCCTGGAAAATATGAAAAAAAATAATGCAATAAACCTGTCGTATATAAGTTAATGTTAGACAATGTTGGTGGGTTGGTTGTTTAACGGCGCACTCAGCAATATTCCAACTGTATGGCGGCGTTTTGTAAATAATCCAGTCTGGACCAGTCAATCCAGTGATCAACATCATGAGCACCGATCTATGTAACTCGGATACGATGACGTACAGGCCTGAACACCCGACCCCGTTAGTCGCCTCTTACGACAAGCATGGGTTACTGAAGATCAGTTCTAACCCGGATCTTCACGGGTTGTTAGACAATGCCACAAACATCATGGGCATAGTCAGTTGGTACATCAAATCAAATCAATTCCTTTATTTCCAATACTGTGAGGCCACGGGCCTATGAGTACAAAAAACTCCTCATCGGTGCAGACATGAAATATAATGATAACAATGAAAGCATGTACAGCATATACATGTCTTAATATGACAAAATTGATTTCCTTTTTGAAGGCATAAAACAAATATTTAGCAGTATCAAGGAAATGTCTACATTTTTGGATGATAACAACGAATTAAATTTTAGTATATTGGGGAAAATATAGAATTGCAACCAAAGATATTTACGTCTTAATTCAATGTAGGCTGGCCATATAAGTAAGAAGTGATAGTCATTTTCAATTACATTTAAGTTACATCATTGGGGCATTATGGCAGCTTTGAACCAACATTTGGTGATTGTAAGTATTCAAACCAGCTTTTCAGCTTGAAAGAAAAACGTGGCTTCAAACGTTACTCGATACGTCTTTTTACGAAAATAGAGCAGTTTAGAATGTAAGCAGTGACATTGAAATATTTCTGCTAAACACTGACGTCTGAAACACTATGCACTGGAAAAACGTCCACATTTACAAGCTTGTAACATAAGATTTACAATTTTGTAAAGATGAGGTTTACACGACATTCACAATTTTGGAAATATGAACTTTACAAAAATTTACGATTTTGAAAATGTCCACGGGGGAGATAACTGGTGGGTGATGGTAAATGATTGTTCTTTGTACGTCCAAAGGCCTACTGCCTTGTTAATTGATGAGTAAGTCAGTTAAGACAACCTCTGGAAGTAAGTTATTTAAATCTGCTGAGCTGTAGCTTGGTTCGACATGTCGCGATGTGATCATTGCTCGAATACACCTAAGAAATTCGCCAACAGAGTGGTATGCACAGGCGGTGAAAGTTGTATTGTATTGAATTTGGTTGATTGTATATTGTTTTGTGTTGAGCTGTCAGTTTGTATGGTATGTGTGAATGAGGAACCTCGCGTATTATGACATTGAAATCAAACTGAACTAAACATTATTCCAATATCAATGGTCAATATCGCAATGTTTCACAGTTTGTTTCACATTTTGGATAATCCCTTCTTTTACGCAGATAAAATTATTAAAAAAGAACGAATAATGCCATGCTTCTCTCAGAATTAGGAAAGATAATATATATAGTGTTTCTATATAAATTATATATTTCTTTTTCGTCGAACAGAATTCACAATGGTCCGTTGATTACAATACCAGAGCGCCTGTTATCATGATAAGAAACATAATGCAAAATGTCATTTCCTTCATTCGGGTTAGACAGATTGTTTTCTAAGCCAAATAATGCAATTTGAGAGATCGGCTAAAAATATATGTTTTTCAATATGGTTGCCACAGAATCGGATTAAAAAAATCTTGAACAAGGTCAGGTGTCGTCACTGGTGGGAACAACTAAGTGATTATTCATTTTTACTCTGGAAGTCATAAGTCATTTATACTTCCGGTTAGTCAAAACACAAAGGTCAAATCCACGTTACAATTTTAGATACAGTACCTACTTGCAGTTTTTAAAGCCACAACATACAGATAACATATACCAAATTTCATTCAATGTTGAAATACAATGAATAAGTGGTGTCGTTAAGTAGTTTTTCAATATGGCTGCTGTTTTGGCCATATTGAAGATCCCATGAAAAATGAGATGAAAATCAATGTCGAAAAACAAGCGTCGACAGACGATTACATGATTGTCATTCAGTTGGGCGGAAATTTAAATTATGTCAAACCCAAAATAAAATAAAATTCGAATTGAATTATAAATATTTAACATCATTATTTTGACACTGAAAATAGCCTCAGTGTAAGGAACAAGGTACCATGTGAACTTTGTGCTACTTGAGTATTTTAACACAAATGAATAGAAAGGAAATTCCATCAATCCCAAAAGGAATTTGTTACATAATAGCATAGGAAAACAGCGTCACATCCGTATACGCTTAACAATTACACGGTCCTGTTGCTGTTATCGTGCTCACAGTCACACACCTGTGCGTCATGAGCGACAACAACCACGCACCAGGATTCTGTTACCAATCTAAGTACGACAGTCCTTAAGTTGATACGCATAACGAAATAAACATTTCAAGGGAAATCCTGTTTCTGCATATCGGTGTCTTACAAACGCACCTTTAAAAGCGGTGTCCGGTATAAGCCATTTACGCACTTCAAATAACGAGAATCATTGTACTGCGGATCCTGTTTCCATAATGTGAGCGCGATAATATATCTACTGTGGGTTCAAGTAACGTGGAGCTAGCCGTATATATACGTTATACACAGTCGAACTTTGATCTCTCGAATCGAAGTTAAAGCTGTCTCAAAGTGAAATCTTCATAATATTTCGGGTTAGAATTGGTCTTCAGTAACCCATGCTTGTAATAGGCGACTAATGGCACCGGGTGGTCAGGCTCGCTGACTTGGTAGACTCATGTCATCATATCCCAATTACGTAGAACGATGCTCATGATGTTGATCACTGGATTGTCTGGTCCAGACTCGATTATTTACTGACTGACGCCATATAGCTGGAATATTGCTGAGTGCGGCGTAAATGTATACTCACTCAAGCATAATGTTTCGGTTGTGTCGAAGCTCGTACAGCGTGAAATATATCTAGATACTTTTAATTTCGACACAAAGGTATTAAAGTTTACAAAGACATACTCAAACTCAAACATTTTTGTGATTATTCAAATTTATTTCTAACTGAAAAGTAATAATATTAATGGTGATGATAGTGTCTATACGCATATAGCTATACAAACTGATCAAATGAGTACGCAACGAGACTTGTCAAGTGTAGCCCAACAGCGTTTTAATCCACTGGGCTTAAATATAAAACCAAACCTGGATGTTCTTTCACTTTTAAACTGACGAACATGCGTCCTCCGGGATGGGAATCAACCAGATAGTTCACGATACCGTGTAGGGGAACACAAATTAAATTTGAAATCTTGAATTTAATTATATTAAAACAAGAATTTTGTAGAAACTCTATTGGGAGCATCTTACGCAGATTAAACGCCTGTTCACTTTAAATAATAGAGTTTGAGACTGGTGTTTTTCAAAATTTGTATGTGAACTTGACAAGGTATCAGAGTTTTCGTTAGATAAGAGGCTTGCCACAAAACCATGGGGTTGACGTTCATGTATTCTTGAAAAGACGTAAACACTGACGTCTTTCAAGGGAATTCCCTTTCACGAATAAATACAAAGGCGTTGTTTCTGATCGTGTAGACACTTTAGAAACTCAGGTTTGTTTATGCATCAGAAAGAGAGGAGAGTTTGGCAGCTTCGGGTAGATACATCCTAGTGAACAAAACGAAGAAAAATACAACCAAACTATAGATTTGATCCGACGATAACAAGGACAAACAAGATTTTCAGCAGTCTATCAATTTACACAAGTATCTATTTAAGATACCTTTATTTATATCCCCTAAATAATTTGCCGAATGATTAATGATGACGTACTCTTGTAATTGTCACAGGCATATTGCTGATTACGGATATCTAAGGTTCAAACTCCACTGAACCACACAAAGTGAAAGTCCATTTTAAAATAGTTTTTACACACACGCACTGACACACACACACACGCACGCACGCACACACGCAGACGTAGTCTTTTCTCAATGCCTGGCATTTTATAGGAGTGACAGTAAGATGTTTGGTTGGTTTGTTGTTTAACGCCGCACTCAGCAATGTTCCAGCTTTATGACAGCGGTCTGTAAATAATCGAGTCTGGATCAGACAATCCAGTTGGCAACATCATGAGAATCGATCTACGTAATTGGGATACGATGACATTTGTCAGCCAAGTCAGCGAGCCTGACCACCCAATGTCGTTAGTCGCCTCTCACGACAAGCACGGATTACTGAAGATCAATTCTGACCCGGATCTTCTCGGGTCACTGTATTTAAAATCACACATGCGAACGAGTCTGCTCTTCCAAGAACCTCAAATGAAATAAGGTTCCAGGTTATCGCACTTATAGGATAGCCACCCTTCCCAACGAAACTTAGTTGCAATGCTTTTTATGTAGCCGTACATTCTGGTCGTGTTCAGTCAAACTTACTGATACTATCGAAGCGAGTTATGCACCAAACACACATGATGAAAGCATGGTTCATCTAAGAGAGTAGAAATCATGGCTCGTCTAACAGTAAAGAACACACATGATGAAAGCATGGCTCGTCTAACAGTGTAGAACACACATCGTGAAATCATGGCTCGTCTAACAGTGTAGAACACACATGATGAAAGCATGGCTCGTTTAACAGTGTAGAACACACATGATGAAATCATGGCTCGTTTAACAGTGTAGTTTAAAGCGTAGAACACACACACATGATGAAATCATGGCCCGTTTAACAGTGTAGAAAACACACATGATGAAATCATGGCCCGTTTAACAGTGTAGAACACACATGATGAAATCACATGATGAAAGCATGGCTCGTTTAACAGTGTAGAACACACATGATGAAATCATGGCTCGTCTAACAGTGTAGACCACACATGATGAAAGTATGGCCCGTCAAGCAGTGAACCACATTCATGACGAAAGCATGGCTCGTTTAACAGTGAAGAACACACATGATGAAGGCCCATTTCACAGTAATGAACACATGTGTCAGTCACTCGGTGTAGAACAGGAAGTGCTGCGAGCGCGGATCAGACAGAGGGATCAATATAGAATGTCATACACTCCACACTTGCCGTCGTCTGTCTCCAACAAGTAAATGCCAGTCGCCCCAGTCCTCTAAGAGATTGGACGAACACGGCAGTGCCGCGTCACGTGGCTGCCCGAACAAGTGTACAATGTAGGCCAGTGGGTCGGTGATATTGGAAACATTGAACGGTGGGAGATCGATGTCATTTTGCGATCACTCTGACACCGGGACAGATAACCTTGTGGAAAATAAGACTCCATTTCACTAAATATTCCGTATTCGCAGATATTATTCTTTCACAATATTACTTAAATATGTCAATATTGGCTTAAGAAAATTATTTGTTTGGCAAAAAAGTGTGTGGTTAAATATTGGATTTTATCGATTTACATAAATGGATCCATTTAAACAAACAGCCATATATATACGACTGCCCATCATCAATACTGTGGCATCATTAAAAACTTTTCATTTACTGATGTCACGATTTCGATTCAGTGCTATTACTAATTAGAGGTATTGATGTAAAATCCAATTTTGATAAGAAAACATACAGAATGATGTAGTGTTATTCCTTTAGGATATATTAAAGAATATTAAATGTCTACACCTCATTTCAAAGAAACTGAATTTTGTTCAAACAGTGAGCCCTCGTTAGACCGGACATCGTATTAAGGAAACATGATATTCTAGGAACTCGTTACTCAGGACGGACATCTGTGAAAGGTTAAACTCGGAGGTTAAATCTATTGACCTTATATACAGAGTGAAGCATGTGTCGTTCGCTCGTCTATAACCGTGGCACGCAGGATCAATTATCGCATTCACAGTGATAACACGTAGAGATCACACTCGCCTGGTGATACCAAACATTAATCAGTCCTGTTAATAAGTCACGTCGAATGGGATATGATTTCAGGGGACTGTTATGTGGCCCTGTAGTTAAACGGTCGGTTCGGCTTGCAGAAGATTGGGTTTGATACAATTTGGAAATAAAATGATTAAAAAGCCCAAAAATATCAATGATTACGATAATATACTAAAAGGGGTGGAGGGTAGCCTCATGGTTAAAGCGTCCGCTCGTCACGCCGAAGACCCGGGTTCGATTCCATTTCTGGTGTCCCCCACCTTGATATTGTGGGGATATTGCTTAAAGTAGAAAAAAAACTATACTCGTCCCATGAGAATCAAGAAACGATTTGCATAATACGTCTCTGATAGGGCTGATATTTACTCATGGTACCAATCCCGGGTTCGATTCCCAACATGGTTTAAAACATGGGAACCCGGCATAAAGTGCCCCCGCTGTGACATTGCAGGGATACTGATAGAGGCGGCGTAAAGCCATACTCACTCCCCGGAAAGATATAATAATGCATTTCCGATGCATCTATGTTTGTATCTGCAAAGGTCAACGCAATCACGGTGTTCTTGTGATCATCGCACAAATCGATTTTGTGACGTTCTAGATAAGGATCTAATTACTGCTCACAAATTATCAAGTACACGTGAACCAGGAAGAAGGTAAACGAAGTGTTATCTGAGAATATGCATGTATAAATATGTATATGTCATAGGGCAGAATGATAGCATCGTCCTATCTGTGTACAAGGAGGGAGTGGGGTTGCCTAGAGGTTAAGGCGTTCGCCCGTAGCGCCAAATGCCCGAGTTCGATTCCCCACATGGGTACAGGGTATGTGTGAAGCCAATTTCTGGTGTCCCCAGTCGTGATATTGCTGGAATACTGCTAAAACTAAACTCACTGCACAAGAATACTGTACGTGCAACTGGGATGATGTCACCACGGTCATTGTCCCACTCCCAACCCCATCAAATACTCATTGGTTCGGTGAAAGGGTGGCATGAAATCCATAAAGTCACTGTGCAATCAAAAGCGCATTCATCCTGCTTAAAGTGTTAGGACCACAGGCCTTTGCAATATCACGCTGAATGACAAACCGTTTTCTACGCTTGTTTCTCCTGACTCCGTGTAATATAGAACTGAAACACGTACTAACCCGTACATATAGGTTACATGCCTATGTATATTTACAAACTGCTCTGCATGTAGAAGCCTCGTCTGTTTCAGCCCCGAACCCCTAGTACCAAGCCCTCACTGCAATGATTATAGTCTGCTTGCAGTGAAAACGTACCGATAAATTTCACTTTAAACAAAAAAGTAAATCAAATAAAGTGAAATTAAGATTGCGAATCCTCATAATTTTACCTTGCCAATTAAACATTTAAATTTCAGAATTTTATTCAACTTAGGATAAAAGTTGTATAACAGACGATCATAGATTCAAATCGCTATTATTGGTTTGTAGACCAACCCTACTTGTTCTCGGTGTTTCATTTAATGTGCATACCCCCTTGTAATACAAACCAATAATAGCGATTTGAAACTATGATCGTTTGTTAAACAACGTATATCCTAAGTTGAATAAAATTCTGAGATTCATGAGGTAAAATCATGAGGATTCGCACTTCTAATTTCACTTTATTTGATTTACGTTTTTGTTTAAAGTGAAATTCATCGGTACGTTTTCACTGCAAACCTACTATAGGCCCTAAATGAAGCGTCGAGATTTCCACAGGTTCTGAATCTCCCAACTCGGGTTTCTTGTTAACGTAAATGGGCTACCATCAAAATTACATATATTCCGAGACACAGCGTTAGTCTAGTCTGAATTATGCATGGTGATTCGATCCCTGTGACAGGCATGCCTAGATAAGGGCAACGATACCTATACAGAGGCGGTTTATAGGTAGAACGTATTAGGATTTATATAGTCTAGGAATCATTATGTAAATTTGTATTCGTTGCCGAAGAGTTGTGTGCAGGTCTAGTGAATTACTTTTCAGGGGGAAGTTGCCTTTAAGGAGTTCTTGTTCATTACATCGTTGATGTATTGGCAGTCATAAGTAGAGTGATAAGTTCACAACGTCACAGTTTCCATAATATTCTAAATATTGATAATGGCATTGCTACACACATGGTTCCTTGTTTCCTAGCTTGAGAGAGAGAGCGAGAGGAGCAGATCGGGAGAGAGAGAGAGAGAGAGAGAGAGAGAGAGAGAGAGAGAGAGAGAGAGAGAGAGAGAGAGAGAGAGAGAGAGAGAGAGAGAGAGAGAGAGAGAGAGAGAGAGAGAGAGAGGAGAGGAGCAGAGAGAGAGAGAGAGAGAGAGAGAGAGAGAGAGGAGCAGATCGAGAGAGAGAGAGAGAGAGAGAGAGAGAGAGAGAGAGAGAGAGAGAGAGAGAGAGAGAGAGGAGCAGATCGAGAGAGAGAGAGAGAGGAGCAGATCGAGAGAGAGAGAGAGAGAGAGAGAGAGAGAGGAGCAGAGAGAGAGAGAGAGAGAGAGAGAGGAGCAGATCGAGAGAGAGAGAGAGAGAGAGAGAGAGAGAGGAGCAGATCGAGAGAGAGAGAGAGAGAGAGAGAGAGAGAGAGAGAGAGAGAGAGATCGAGGAGCAGATCGAGAGAGAGAGAGAGAGAGAGAGAGAGAGAGAGAGAGAGAGAGAGAGAGAGAGAGAGAGAGAGAGAGAGAGAGAGAGAGAGAGCGAGAGGAGCAGATCGAGAGAGAGAGAGAGAGAGAGAGAGAGAGAGAGTTAGTGAGAGAGAGAGAGATCTCAACACGTACATGCACACACATATGTACATTTCTACATCTATAATATATACATATACATACATACATACATCTACATCTGATACGATAATCCAGATTACTTACGTTTTCCCCAAAAGCCAGGGCTTGCTTCTCTGTAGGTCGGCTAATTTAGTAAGCAGAGTAGCTTTGGCACCATGTTTGTTGCTAATAAACTCCACGAGTCGTCCACAACCGAAGAAAGAGAGCGTACACACGTTGATGGTTAGAGAAATACATAACAAACAGCCGTCCGTGAACATGTGCATGAGGACGTTGTCAGCCGTTGTGTGGACCCACGTGGATTGGCCCACCATCTGTTGGCACGCGCTATCGCCCAGAGAGTCAACTGTCAAATGAGACAAATCCGCGCCAACCAGGAAGTAGTTGCTATTAATAGAGAAAGAGGAATCCCCTTTTCAGAAGCGCTCCAACACGGCTGTCAAACATTGCCGGGGCTTTCTGGTCTGCGGAAGCGAATGAAATGGAAATCCCAGGTAAGTTTTGATGAGCTGTTTTGCGTGGCTTCGTGTTTTCATTATTAGTATATCAGTGTTTTACCACACTGTAAAGAAGGAAGCGTGCCCATGAGATATAAACCCCCTAAACATTCATGACGTAAACGCGACATGCAGGATCCGGATGCTATTTAAAGTAGGGAACAATCAGCAAGTTACTTTGTTCATTAAATATAGGGGATGGTGGGTAAATATGTGACTAGTATTCAGTAGTTATAAATATTTTTTAAACAAATTTTGGTGATATAAAATATCACGATGATAAATCATAAAAAATGTGATTATTATTTTCATTATTACTGTACCATTGTTATCATTAATATCATTATACACATCACGATATGACATTATCAACAATGTACCGCTGTGCTGCTACGGTTTGGTTTTATAGAGATTTAGTTATGTTGAGAAGCTTTTCCACAACCACAATGAATGTATACCAAGTGTTTGTAACTCACATTAGCTGCCTTTCTACCTCCTGATGCATACAAGAACATGTTAACACTAGAACCGACGTTTTGTCCAGGTGTGATGTCGAAATGGCTTTCAATTAGAAAATGAGCATATTGAAATAAAACATGCTTTTTTCAAAGGAAAACACACTCTTCAATCTTTATGTTGACATATTTGCCCGTTTCGATTCTAGAATGTGCAAAAAAACATCGAAAATTTGCAAAGGCAGAAACTCTTAATAATAAATTGATGCTTTCAAACTTCTGTGGAATAGGCCCATATACAGCCTTAGAAGAATTCCTGCCAAAAAACCTGATCTTGTTCATTTTGATAAAGGCAATGAATTCATTTTTATTATTGATTTTTCTGTCCCTTTAGACAGCAACGTGATTGGCAAGATTCAGGAAAAGCATAATAAATACGCGGACCTCGCCTTTGAAATGTCTCACTTGCATTCCAAGTACACTGTCGTCAGACTCCCCATTGTCCTCGGTGCCCTTGGTTTGGTACCTCCTGATCTCTTGGCGCATGCAGATCAGGAGAGTGCACGGGTTCACAACCGGGGGCACAGATTTTCTGACACTCTGGGTAATGCAGAAGGCTGCAGTGTTGAGGAATCTACATATTCGCCGGAAAGTTCTTGGTAGGTTCGACTAGGCAGCGTTTACTGTGAGAAGTCCCATTCGCTGTCTGGGCTGCGTGTAGAGGGGGCAAGGGCCCTGAGCTGATGATGAGCCTTACCAGCCTGACTGTGTCAGGATAACCCGAATCCTCTCTGCGTCATTTTTATCTTAATCTTAATTATATAAACAAACAAAAAACAAGCAAAAAATCAAAGAAAAATCAAATCCTTCCCTCCAAAAAAATACAAACAAAATTAACATAAAAACAACCAAAATAATAATAATAATAGTGCACATTTATAATGCGCCCATTTCCACGCTTGCAGTATGCTACAATTAAAAAGTACATAGGAAGGGATGATGACAAAGTTATTATGATTCGTAGAACTGAAAAGATAGGTTTAAGACTCGCTTTGAATGACTCAAACGTTGGAGAAAGTTTAAGGTCTTGGGGAAGAAAGTTCCACATGTAGGGCTCATATTGTTCAAAGATCTCTGACCAAAGAACATGAGTTTTCATTGTGGCACTGTCAGTAGGTTCTGGTGTTGAGATCTTAGTTCCCGTGCTGGGGCATAGGCTGATATCAGCTCTGATATGTATGAAGTAGATTGCTCGTGAAGTGATTTATATGTCAGACAGAGAATTTTGAAATGGATCCTTGCTCTTATTAGAAGCCAGTGGACATTTCTAAGAACAGGAGTGATGTGGGATTTCTTGGAGGTGAAGGTCATGATTCGTGCTGTCGTATTTTGCACCTTTTGAAGTTTGTCGAGGAGGACATCAGGGAGTCCTACATAGAGGCTGTTACAGTAGTCGAGAAGGACATCAGGGAGTCCTACATAGAGGCTGTTACAGTAGTCGAGGAGGACATCAGGGAGTCCTACATAGAGGCTGTTACAGTAGTCGAGGAGGACATCAGGGAGTCCTACATAGAGGCTGTTACAGTAGTCGAGGAGGACATCAGGGAGTCCTACATAGAGGCTGTTACAGTAGTCGAGGAGGACATCAGGGTAGTCCTACATAGAGGTTGTTACAGTAGTCGAGGAGGACATCAGGGAGTCCTACATAGAGGCTGTTACAGTAGTCGAGGAGGACATCAGGGAGTCCCACCTGTTACAGTAGGAGGACTCAGGGAGTCCTACATAGAGGCTGTTACAGGAGGAGGACATCAGGGAGTCCTACATAGAGGCTGTTACAGTAGTCGAGGAGGACATCAGGGAGTCCTACATAGAGGCTGTTACAGTAGTCGAGGAGGACATCAGGGAGTCCTACATAGAGGTTGTTACAGTAGTCGAGGAGGACATCAGGGAGTCCTACATAGAGGCTGTTACAGTAGTCGAGGAGGACATCAGGGAGTCCTACATAGAGGCTGTTACAGTAGCCGAGGAGGACATCAGGGAGTCCTACATAGAGGCTGTTACAGTAGTCGAGGAGGACATCAGGGAGTCCTACATAGAGGCTGTTACAGTAGTCGAGGAGGACATCAGGGAGTCCTACATAGAGGCTGTTACAGTAGTCGAGGAGGACATCAGGGAGTCCTACATAGAGACTGTTACAGTAGTCGAGGAGGACATCAGGGAGTCCTACATAGAGGCTGTTACAGTAGTCGAGTTTACTCAGTATCGAGGAGGACATCTAACTAGAGAATTAGCAGCTTCCAGGGTTCTCAAGGGACGAATATTCCCAATCATTCGGAGATTCCAGTGGCAAATCTTGCAGATGTTATTAATCTGAGCTTCCATGGAGAGCGTTGGGTCCAGCAGGACACCAAGATCTTTGACAGTGTTTGCTAACTGGACTTCCGTGTCTGAGACATTAATGGTGTGTATGTCCACCTTTGGAGCTGCTGCTTGGTTCCGAAAAAAGATCGCTTCAGATTTATCACTGTTCAATTTGAGTTTGTTTACATCCTTCATATGTACTAATTTTGTTTGTACAAGAATTAACACTAATTATCCATTAAAAGTTCCTTCAACGTTGCAACCCTTTTAGGTATTTTCCCAAAAACGTGAACTCCAATTCTTATGATTAACGCCAAGCATTTCCCCTATATAAAGCCATGTTTATATAATCGATCATGTATCGTGCTGGCTCTTGTTAACATGCAATAGAATGACTAACGGATGCCATGGGCTGCTAAATCAACAGCCGAGAGACGTCGTATTAATTTGACACTTCCGCGTTTCTGCTTTTCGTGCATTCCAAAAATGCCACTGCTTTTTCAAAACATTATTTCCTGTATCTATTTTACTTTAGGTATGCTTTTATCAGAGCGAAGCATGCATGCAGACGAACGAGCGCAAATGTCCCACTTCCTTTGGCTTCAGATCGATGGACCAATCATAGTACACTATCAGACAACCAAGGCTTTTGATTGGATACGTCCAACCAGGAAGTAGGTCGCTTTCCCTGTTCGCTATTGATGTTTTACATATACGTCGCCAGCCTTCTCGTAACCCGAGAGCACGTCGTTAATGCCAACCAGCGTAGCTTGTCAGTGGGTGAGGATTGACGGCAACAATCCATTACAGCGAATAGATAGGACGCTGAGAAGAGAAATAAATGTCAATTTCATCAATGCGTGTCAAACGACTCGAGCATGAATACAGCGAGGTCGTTGCATCTCTTGCGAGTGAGGGACGTGCTTTGATTAGATAAACAGCGCTTTAATTAGATACTGCTTTTGTTTATTGCAAAACTGCTGATACCAATAAATACTGCTTATGTAGAGAGTGTGGTGAGACAAATACGGGATTGATACCATGAGTACATATCAGCACTATCAGAGACGTATTATGCAAATTGCTTCTTGAATCTCACGGAATGAGTATAATTTTATGCTATTTTTAGCAATATCCCCACAATATCACGGGGGAATCAGAAATTGGCTTCACACATTGCACCCATGTGGGGGAATCGAACCCCGGTCTTCGGCGTGACGAACAAACCCTTTGACCACTAGGCTTCCCCACGGTCCCGTGATACAGAGAATATATTTTAGGGCCTTTTCGATTATGCTAAACCGGTTTTGGTTTCGGGAAAACCATGCACTCGATTATGTCGAAACCTAATACTGGGTTCTGAAACCTCGAAACCATCACCGAGGCAGGTTTCGCAGTTTCAGTTTCGCGTTCTCTCACAACAGACATGGCGGAAACGAAAGCGCCAGGTTCAGCTGATCTTGGTGGCAAAATAGAGCAGCAGTTTTTGGAACCAAAATAATGATAAAAATCAACTGAGAACTAGAAAAATATTTTTTAAAACCCCAGTCTATTGAATATGGCTATTTTATGTAACTTGTATATATATAATTACTTGTAGCAGGATAATTACATATACGCAAATATTTACCTCCATAAGCATCTCATCTCTTTATTATTTGTGAATTCACTGATAAAATGAAAAACACATGCTGTCATCCAATTCGTTCCACATATACAGTAGCTGAGACATGTTTTTGGTATCCATTTTGAAAACGGATGGTGAAACCATCCACTCGTTTATAAAACTGGAAACTAGTTTCACTTTGAAACCATGTATCCGAAATTAGACACTCGTTTATAACAGGAGAAACAAGTTTCAAAAACGAAAACCATATTCGCAATAATCGAACAGGCCCTTAGTATTCATATTGTTATCTAACTGCAGCATCTGCAGATCTAAACACATTGATATGATTTATATACGGGACGCTGTGTGGCTCACAGCAGTGAAGGCTGTTAGGTTGTTGAACGCGCCTGTTTGTAATTTATTTGAAGTTGTTTCAACTATATATTGTAATACCTCGTTTGCTTTGTGTCAGCTGTCGATATGATTCACAGCATATATTTACGTTGTGGTGCTTGCCAATATGACTATGAGGCTTCATTTGTTGTGTGTTGGTGGCCCCGGTGATTCACAACCCTCACATCCCGTATTATACACCACAGTCTGTTGGTTGCCCGTATAGTTGGCAGATATTGCTTGCGATCTGTCTGTTGGTTAAAGCAATCGTTTGTGTTGTGCCCGGTTGTCCTATGTGTTCTATTGGTTATTGTTCTATCTGTTATTAATAAAACCCGTTTGTGTTCTGTTGGTTGTCCTGTTATTTTAAAACCCCGTTTGTGTTCTGTTGGCTGCTCCTGTTATTATACACCCCCGTTTGTGTTCGATTGGTTGCTCCTGTTATTATAAACCCCGGTTGTGTTCGATTGGTTGCTACTGTTATATACCCCCGTTTGTGTTCGATTGGTTGCTACTGTTATTATACACCCCCGTTTGTGTTCTATTGGTTGCTCCTGTTATTATACACCCCCGTTTGTGTTCTATTGGTTGCTACTGTTATTATACACCCCCGTTTGTGTTCTATTGGTTGCTACTGTTATTATACACCCCCGTTTGTGTTCTATTGGTTGCTCCTGTTATGTATAACCCCGTTTTGTTCTATTGATTTCTATTATACATTTGTGTTGGTTACTGTTATTATACACCCCCGTTTGTTGGTTGTGTTCTTATAACCCCGTTTGGTTGCTGCTACTGTTATTATACACCCCCGTCTGTGTTCAGTTGGTTGCTCCTGTTATTATACACCCCCGTTTGTGTTCTATTGGTTGGTCCTGTTATTATATAACCCCGTTTGTGTTCTATTGGTTGCTACTGTTATTATACACCCCCGTCTGTGTTCAGTTGGTTGCTCCTGTTATTATACACCCCCGTTTGTGTTCTATTGGTTGCTACTGTTATTATACACCCCCGTCTGTGTTCAGTTGGTTGGGTCTTGTTACTGTATAACCCCGTTTGTGTTCAATTGGTTGCTACTGTTATTATACATCCCCGTCTGTGTTCAATTGGTTGCTCCTGTTATTATACACCCCCGTTTGTGTTCTATTGGTTGCTACTGTTATTATACACCCCCGTTTGTGTTCAGTTGGTTGCTACTGTTATTATACACCCCGTGTGTTCGAATTAGTTGTATTGTATAAATCCCCAGTTCCTCCTGTTATTATACACCCCGCTCTGTGTTCAGTTGGTTGCTTCTGTTATTATACACCCCGTTTGTGTTCTATTGGTTGCTACTGTTATTATACACCCGTTTGTGTTTTCAGTTGGTTGCTCTTGTTATATAACCCCGTTTGTGTTCAGTTGGTTGCTACTGTTATTATACACCCCCGTTTGTGTTCAGTTGGTTGCTACTGTTATTATACACCCCCGTCTGTGTTCAATTGGTTGGGTCTTGTTACTGTATCCCCGTTTGTGTTCAATTGGTTGCTACTGTTATTATACACCCCCGTCTGTGTTCAGTTGGTTGCTCCTGTTATTATACACCCCCGTTTGTGTTCTATTGGTTGGTCTTGTTACTGTATAACCCCGTTTGTGTTCAATTGGTTGCTACTGTTATTATACACCCCCGTCTGTGTTCAGTTGGTTGCTCCTGTTATTATACACCCCCGTTTGTGTTCTATTGGTTGGTCTTGTTACTGTATAACCCCGTTTGTGTTCAATTGGTTGCTACTGTTATTATACACCCCCGTCTGTGTTCAGTTGGTTGCTCCTGTTATTATACACCCCCGTTTGTGTTCTATTGGTTGCTACCCCGTCTGTGTTCTGGTTGCTACTGTTATTATACACCCCCGTTTGTGTTCTATTGGTTGCTCCTATTATTATACACCCCCGTCTGTGTTCAGTTGGTTGGGTCTTGTAACTGTATAACCCCGTTTGTGTTCAATTGGTTGCTCCTGTTATTATACACCCCCGTCTGTGTTCAGTTGGTTGCTCCTGTCATTATACACCCCCGTTTGTGTTCTACTGGTTGCTCCTGTTATAAACCCCGTTTGATTTCAGTTGGTTGCTCCTGTTATTATACACCCCGTTTGTGTTCGATTGGTCGCTACTGTTATAAACCCCGTTTGTGTTCAGTTGATTGCTCCTGTTATAAACCCCGTTTGTGTTCGATTGGTTGCTCCTGTTATTATACACCCCCGTGTATGCTCGATTGGTTGCGTTAAATCCTCGTTTGGATACTATCTGATTGCCCTATCGTTATAAACACTTGTTTGTGTTTAAGCTTCCTGGACTGTTCTTATGATTATAAGCGATCGTTTGGTTTGTATTGGTAGTCCCTACTGATGTATACTGTGAAAGCTGGAGGGTTAATATTGGGAGGATTTGTTTGTGAAATTGTGTGCTCGGTCTTCAAAAAGAATCCCCCAAATTCATGATCCCTAACTTTTTTGTTTAGTCTACAATGGATCGGCTCCGTGTTTTAATGGATAGAGAGCCTACGGTCGATGGTTGGATTTTGGGAATCGTACTAAGTGATGTTAAAAGATGACACTTGTTGTTTCCCAGCCTCGCTCTGTCAAGGCCTAAAACAAGGCAGATCGTCTCGGAGTCTGTAAACTGTGTCCAAGGGACATCCACGTTAAAGTGCCAGTGGCGTAGCCTAGTGGTTAAAGCGTTTGCTTGTCACGCCGAAGACCCTGGTACGATTCCCCACATGGTTACAAAGTGTTAAGGCCATTTCTAGTGTCCCTGGCCATGATATTGCTGTAATATTGTAAAAAGCGACGTAAAACTAATTTATACTCACTCACTCACTCCACGTTAAACATTTAGCTTGCGTTGGAAAACTGACTATTCCTCGCTCGTATGTAACCGTTTCGCTGTGTAATTGGAATAATCTTGAACGCAACTCTAAACCCCGCCTCACCTCAGTCCGACTGTCATGGTTGTCAAGGCGACTTTGAAACGAATCTGTTGGTAAGAACTTTGTTTTGATGATATATTTTTGACACACCACGTGATACCCGTGTGCCATCTGTCTGAATCTGGTCACATGGCACCACGTGCGATCTACGTGCCCTTGAGTGCCTATGGCATTCGGAGACAGGGAAATAAATGGCCATTTGTCTTATACGTTATTCACTGTAAACAGCTGCGTTCCTCAAACGTAACAGGATTCGATGACCATGGGCTCAAATCTAAGATTCACCAAATTGTGATCCTTGGTTTTTAAACACCTTACGTAACGAGTAAAACCTTCATCACTCCCGGTTCACAACCGAAGTACTATTCAAAGGGGGTTAAAACCCTCACTCACTCATTACCCCAGCTGTGTTGTCTGAGAAGTTTGTCTTGTCGGATACTTGTTTGTTATTCGGGGGCGGTGGGGTAGCCTAGTGGTTAAAGCGTTGGCTCGTCACGCCGAAGACCTGGGTTCGAATCCCCACATGGGTACAATGTGTGAAGCCCATTTCTGGTGTCCCCCGCCGTGATGTTGCTGGAATATTGCTAAAAGCGGCGTAAAACCAAACTCAGCCAGTGTTATTCAACGCTGATATTTTAGATACATAGAATTGGTTTGAAAATAGTATATTTTAGACCATACAATCCAGTGATTGACATCATGAGCATCTATCTACGCAGCAACGTCATCAATCCTGACCACCCTATCCTGTTAAACGTTAGTTACTTCTCAGGACAAGCATGGGTTCCGGAAGGTCGATTGCAACCCGGATCTCAACGCGGCTTGTCATACCATCATATCTCCATTTAGACGATGTTGTATTCACAACACAGCTGTATCCTCTCCTTTGATGTTATAACGATGCATAAAACATCCTTTTTTGTGTTCTTGGCAGCCCATATAGTCATTTAATGACACAGATGCACTGTGTTGAAGACTGTTTAAACGCTG